AAAAAAAAATTCTAAAGTCAACAACAATGGCTTCCAATAGTCTCTATTTACCAAGAAGCCCCAAATTTTCATTTCAACACAGACCCTTCTTCTCAGCTCCAGAACCATATATCCACCTTCATATTTGACATCTTCACTTGAATATCCTACAGGCGCCTCAAATTTAACTTGTCAAAAACTGAACCCATGATATTCCCTCTTAACTCTGCTTTTTCTCCTGTGCTTCACATCTTGGTAACGCACCCCTGTCCATGTAGTTACTCATTCCAGAATCTGGCAGGGATCCTTAACGCCTCCCACATCTCCACTTCAGCATCCATCACCAAGCCATACCTTTGTCTTCTATAAAATATGCCTCAAATATGCCCATTTATTGTTATCTCTGCGGTCATCACTCTAGTCCAAGCCATCATCCCTCACCTGGACCACTAGAAAGGACTCCTAACTGGTCTCTGTTTTTACTCCTGCCTTCCTTCCATGTGGCAAATCACTCTTCTGCTTTGAAGCCTGCAGTGGCCTCCCATGTTACTTAAGACACAATATGAAATGCTGGCATGGCCTACATGCCTTGTAAGACTTCCCACTGCCCACTTCTCAGCCACATCTCATGCCATGTTCCTCCTGGCCCACTCCAGCCGCACCACAACAGGCATTTTAGATGGAGATGCACAAGCGGCTTGACTGCCTGGGGCCCCTGAACATGCTGTTGCTTCCTCCTCTGCAAATACTCTTCCCTCTGACATTTGCTCAGCCCGTGCCCTCACCCAACTGAAATACTCCTTCTCCAGACAGACCCTGCCCATGGTCTTTAAACAATCTGAATTATATCTCCCTTTATAATCTCATATCTCACATTATTTCATAGCAATTGGCATGATTTATAAATGTCACTTTTTTAGAACATATATTTAATCAGATTATTATTTATTAATGTATTTCTTCTTCATTAGATTGTAAGAGCCCTGAGGAGCAAAGACTTTGATTACTATTTTATTCTCAATGCTTAATGTACAGGGTTCTTCAAAAAGTTCATGGAAAGATTTGTATTATCTTTCAATTCTATTTTTCCACAGATTTTTTGAAGTACCTTCATATGGTAGGCACTTAATAAGTAATTGAGGAATAAATGAATTATAAATAAATGTCAGAGAAACTGGCCTAACATGCCTGAGAAGAAGTTGGGGAGCAGAAGGCCAGAGCATAAAGCAGGAGTGATGTTGGTAGTATATTGGGCTGAATAGTGTCCCCCCAAAATTCATGTCTACTCAGAACTTCAGAATGTGACCTTATTTGGAAATAGGGTCTTTGAAAAGGTAGTTAATTAAGATGAGGCTATACTGTATTGGGTCAGTCCCCAAATCCAATGACCGGTATCCTTATAAGAACGACGTAAGGAGAGATACACAGGAGGAAGGCCACGAGACAACAAGCAGGGACTGGCAGATGAAGCTACAAGCCAAGGAATGCAAGCGATTGCCAGCAACCACCCGAAGCCAGGAGAGAAGCATGAAACAGATTATCCCTCAGAGCCTCCAGAAGGAGCCAACCCTGCTGGCACCCTGATTTCAGACCTTTGCCCACCAAAACTTGAGACAATAGATTTCTGTTGTTTTAAGCCATCTAGGTTGTGGTAATTTGTTACAGCAGCCCTGGGAAGGAGATGATAGAAACAGATGATGGTGATGATGATGATGATGATGGTGGTGGTGATGAAGAAGAAGAAGAAGAAGAAGAAGAAGAAGAAGAAGAAGAAGAAGAAGAAGAAGAAG